GAATATAATGTAATTGTAATGATAACGATAAAGATAATAAATAAAAATTAAAAGGTAATAAAAAATCGGAATTTAAACTGTCTAATAATAAATATTAACAGTCATGTAAAAAAAATTATTTATAATCATTATACTTTGATTTCTATTCAAATCTTTAATTGTTAAATATGTCCTCGCTCTTTGATACAGAAAGTGATAATTCAGTTGAAATAATAGATATAATATCCGATAATAATGAACTGGAGGTTAATAAATTAAAGTTTTTTTAAAACAAATTTATTAATAATAACAATAATAATAAATTATATTTTTATTTAATTAGGGCACAAATAGTGATGATTTTATAGAAAAAATTGCATATTTTACAAAAAGTTTAACAGCCAAGCATGTTCAATTTTCAGCCATTTCAGTAGAATATCCATCAACTGATCCAGAAGGCTATGCAATTGTTTATAATTTTATTGAAAGTAATAATTATTCAATTGCAAATAATAATCAAACTCAAAAGGCAATAAAAGATAAAGCTCAAACTGTTTTTTGTGATGTGAGATTTTAAGTTTAATTATATTAAATAATTTAAACAAATTTAAATATTAAAAAGTTAAATTTATTTAAACTAATTATATTTTTTAGATACAATATTCACAAGGAGGAAAAGGCAGTGCTTTATATGTAAATTGTCCTTTTTTTGAAGGACCTAATGGTAAACAATTTTAAATTATGAAAGATCAAAGAACATGCGGAGGAATTAAATTTGTCCTTTTGCAAATAATAATTTTCATAATTATATACATACCAATGTTGATTTTAATTCGAATATATTTCAATCAATTAAAAATAATGAAGAGCTATGAAGTATACAAACAAATACAATAGTGTAATATATTAAATTATTTATCATTTTATATTTTGTATATAAATATGTAGATTTAAATTTATTAATATATATATTAGATTTTATTTAGCGGCCAAAAAATTACCTTGTCCATATATTCAAGAAAATGGTAATCAATGTGATGGTAAATTAGTAATGAGAAAATAATGATATCTTATTACAGCAAGTTCTTCAAATAATGCCAATATAAATAATGGATATTTTATTAGTTGTACACAATGAAAATATAGTATTTCAGGATATCGATATTTACCAGTTGAAGAAAATATAGACTATTAATTATTAAAACAGCTAATTAATAGAATGGTAACTAATTTAAATTTATTTAATTACAAATTTTATTAATATAATATTCTTATTAACAAATATAATTTAGCCATTAAATTAATATAATACAAATAATACTTGCAATACAGTTTTATCCAATATAATTAAATTTTATTTACTATTAAAATTAATTTTTAGTTTTAATTTTTAGCTTTTTCACATATAAATAGTGATAGAAAGCTTATTGAGGCTAAATTAACTCATTTACAATACAATGTTATTTTTTATCATCTTATACTTACTAATTTGAAAAATGCCTATTTGTTATTTTGGTTAGTGTTAGCATGCTCACACATCCACTACCACCACCTAATCATATTCCAGAAACAATAAAAGATTAATTAAATATAATGATTAATAATGCATTTAATCACTTAGATTATATTATATCTCAAAAGATTATTTCAAGTAATATTTTAATTTTTATTTATTTTGTTTTAATATTATATTTATTCTATAATATTAAACTATTTTTTATTTAGGTAATCTTATTCATGTATATTTTGGTACAAATATATTACCAGAAATACATGTTTCATTAAATAATTTAGATCGGCTTTACTATTTAGTTGGTTGTGTACAACAATTGCAAAATCCATATAGGCAAGGAATCTGGTATAGTATATAATTTTTGAAACAATAAAAATTATATCCAAAATTATATACAAAAAATAAATTAATTTTAATTTTAAATTTTTTTATTATTTATTAATTTATTTATAATATAAATTATTAATTTAATAGATTTTTTTAATAATACTCATATTATGATTCTTTGTATGACCAAAGAACAAGCTATTCAACTTCAAAAATAACTTATTTTCAAATAGATCTTACTTATAAATTTGTACAAGAAGAAATTAATATGTATGAACTTAATGAATATGATGAGAATTATTAATTAAATATGCATATTTTTTTATATTAATTAATTTAAATTTATTAAAATATTTACTAACACAACTATTAATATATAGCATTAACTTTAGCTAGAGTTTTACAAATATGTTTGATGCAAATGTATACAAATATATATATTTAAGGATTATTAATACTATAAAAAATTTAACTAATACATTAGTAAAAATTTAGCATATATATAATAAAGGTTAGAGTTATATTTTAAGAAATCTTGATTTTGCACAAGCTAAAGGGCTTGGATTAGCATTATTAAAAATTAATTCAAATAAGAGTTGGTCTGAATATCTTATTTATATTTTTAAAATCTGCTGATTATATTATAGAAGGTATTTATATTTTATTTTATTTATATATTTATATATTTATTTTTGATTTATTTAAAATATTAATAAATTTTTAATTTAGAAATGTATTAAATCAAAATATTCTAATAAAACTAAATATTATATGCAAAGTATATTAATGACTAAAAGTCAGATGAAGTTCAAATTTTATTTGATCAAATTGAAATTTCTAATAAAAATGGCATTGAAAGTATATTTTACTAATAATTAATAGGTATATATAGCCCAAATGTACTAAATTTAGTACAACTAAAAAAATTTATATTAGACTAATTTTTAATTAAATTTATTTAAATTTTGCTAAAATATATTTGAATATATGGGCGTGGCGACTTAGTAAAGTGGTCAAGTTGTCACCCCCCAAGTGGCAGATCCAGGGTTCAATTCCTATCAGCGACGATTATTGAATACTTAAT